TATTGACAGTCCTGTGCCTGAGATCTGAGGTCTTTGTTCTTTAGTGTTAAATGGAGGGCTGGGGAAACAGGATGCATAGCCCAGCCCCCTCTCCCACTCAGAGAAGCTTGCTCATGCAAATTCTCCCACAGGGCTTAAACAGCACGTGTCACCTGCTTGACAATCTTGGTCTTGTTTACAGACGCGTCTGGACAACAATACACTGAATGTCTTCTTATAGACCTTGACGTCTTTGGGTGGTGGTTTACCTGAAACAACAGAAGCAAGGTCAATATACTCCCCCACCCCCGCACAGAGCACCCTTTTAAAATGAATAACCCCCTTCAAGCCCCGAGACACATCCCACTCATGACATTCTTAGACTTTTTAGGGATCTCACTTTCTGCCCCTCACCAAATCCTGCTGATTGATAGTATCTTCAATTCATTACCTCCATTCTCCACCGATACAGATCAATGCCTGGGCTTCCTGGACCCTCTCCATACTTTGGCAGGCAGGACCCTGTCTCTCATATTATTCATGGCCTTGGTGAAGTTACCCCAAGAATTACACTCTGACTCTGAGAACTCAGAGCAGTCTAAGACATCTGTAACCCCTCCCCTTACTGTCCAGAATTTGCAGAGTCCAGAGAAGATTAACTTGCCTCTCCACCCTCTCCTCTTGTCACTGTCTGCCCTTCCCCTCAACATAACATTTGTAATATTTCTCTTCCACTGTCATTACCCTGGTCCTCTAATAATAATTTTAAGTTGACCCTTTACACCCCAAAATTTGCTTTCCCAATATCCTTTAATTCTAGACCCACTCCCATAAACATCTCTGGATGTTGATCTGTGACATATGTGCATAAATCAAGGAATAGTTGTTTTGTTTTACTGTCTGACTCTCAGCTCTGTGCACCTTTCACTATTGTATGCACCATATGTCTCCGGACTTTGAGAACGGAGAATAAAAAGATGTAGGTTGCCCTCCAGTCCCATCACTAGTCCCAGGGCCCAGTAAGAGGGCTAGAAGGCCATGATTTGGAAGGACCCGGAGTCTTTAAAGTCCTGTGGTCAGAGCTGGATGTGCTAAAAGGTTCAAGTCCCAGGTCGTCCTTAGCTGGACACAGCCCCTTCTTCCCCCTCCCCATCCCAGCCTCTCAGCCCATCACTTACATGGCACAGTCTTATTACAGGGTCCTCACTGAGCCTGCAGCAGCAGAACACAGAGAAGCAGGATGGGCAGCAGAGCCTGGGTTGCCATGACTCAGGCCAGAGCAGTGAGCTCTCCATCTGGCACAGACTTTCCTGGAAGCTTGTGTGTGGAGGGAAGGTATGAAAGAGCGGGTTATTCTGGGCTCCTCCCTGCCTCCACTAGCCAGGCCAGGGCAGGGCAAGGAGTCCTTGTGTCCTCCCTGGTGCCTGCCCGTTCCATGGCCTGTTCCATGCAGAGACTGCCCTTCCTGTCACATAACTAACCCTCTCCTTTTGCAAACAGAACTTTTTTTCCTGCAAGTTGTAATCTATTTCTATTTTTTAATTATAAAAGAATTTACAGAAAAGAGAAAAATATATAACTTAAAAATGATGATAATCTCATTGTGTAGAATTAACCTGTGTCTTGTTGTATAGTTGATCCTGAACAACATGGATTTGGATTGCACAGGTCCACTTATCCTCAGGTTTTTCCATAAATACTGTTGGCCCTTGGGTATCCTTGGATTTCTCATCTGCAGCTTCCAGTAACTGTGGATTGAAAACAGTATTTTTGCATTTCAAACCCAGAATAAAAACAATATACTGTTTTACATCTGCCATTGGTTGAATGTGTGGATGCTAAGGGCCAACTATGGTTAAGTTGGGGAATCAAATGTTGTAAGTGGAATTTTGAATGTGTTGGTGTTTGCACCCCTAACCCTCATATTGTTTAAGGGTCAACTGTGTTATCTTTTTTGTTTGTTTGCATATTTAAGATAAACAATTCTGTTCTCCTCACATCTTGAACCACTAACCTGTTAAAAAATATATTTTTATTGACTTCAGGGAGAAGGGGAGAGGGAGAGAGATAGAAACATCAATGATAAGAGAGAATCATTGATCTGCTCCCTCCTGCACACCCCCTTCTGGGGATGGAGCCTGCAACCGGGTCTGTGCCCTGACCAGAATCGGGCAGTGACTTCCTGGTTCATAGGGCAGTGCTCATCCTCTGAGCCACACCAGTGGGCAGAATCACCCACCTTTTGTTACCCATCTTGTCCCACCCTCATTTAATCATGTAAATGTTTCACAAAACATGGTTTTCCATAATTGTACAGCTCTCCTTTAAAATAAACACCTATTGTCAAGCATTTGTGTTGGAGCAATTACTCATTATCTAGACAATATCATGTTGAGCATTTACTCATAAATTCTTAATTTTTGAAAGTATTAAATGTATTGGGGTAACACTAGTTAACAGTTACATAAGTTTCAAGGGTATAATTCTATAATACATCCATATATTTCATTGTGTGCTCACCACCAAAGTCTAGTAGTCTTTTTTTGTCACCATATATATTATGAACCTCTTCATTTTCTTCATCCTTTCCCCACAGATAACCATCATACTGTTGTCTTTACCTATGAATTTGTTTATTGGTTTTGTTTGTTCATTTGTTGCTTTCTGTTTTATATCTTGCATATGAGTGTTTTCCATCTGACTTATTTTGCTTATCATGGTACTTTCAAGATCTACCATGTTTTTGCAAATTTCATCCTTTTGTTTTTTAAATAAGTATGTTTCACTCAACAGAGGATGAGTGTCAGTTTCCTCAAATTCTGTAGGACACTGCATTTTATTTCTTATTTTTTTCTTTATTGAATAAGGTATTACATATGTGTCCTTATCCCCCCATTACTCCCCCACCTTCCACTCATGCCCTCACTCCCTGGTGTCTGAGTCCATTGGCTAGGCTTATATGCATGCATATAAGTCCTTTGGTTGATCTCTCCCCCTTACCCCCACCCTCCCCTACCTTCCCTCTGAGGTTTGACGGTCTGATTGATGCTTCTCTATCTCTGGATCTATTTTTGTTCATCAGTTTATGTTGTTCATTATATTCCACAAATGAGTGAGATCGTGTGATATTTATCTTTCTCTGACTGGCTTATTTTGCTTAGCATAACGCTCTCCAGTTCCATTCATGCTACTGCAAATGGTAAGAATTCCTTCTTTTTTACAGCAGCGTAGTATTCTATTGTGTAGATGTACCATAGTTTTTTAATCCACTCATCTACTAATGGGCATTTAGGCTGTTTCCAAATCTTAGCTATGGTGAATTGTGCCGCTATGAACATAGGGGTGCATATATCCTTTCTGTTTGGTGTTTCGAGTTTCTTGGGATATATTCCTAGAAGTGGGATCACTGGGTCAAATGGGAGTTCCATTTTTAGTTTTTTGAGGAACCTCCATACTGTTCTCCACAGTGGCTGCACCAGTCTGCATTCCCACCAGCAGTGCACGAGGGTTCCTTTTTCTCCGCATCCTCACCAGCACTTGTCGTTTGTTGACGATAGCCATTCTCACGGGTGTGATATGGTACCTCACTGTCATTTTGATTTGCACTCTTGGATGATTAGTGACTTAGAGCTTGTTTTCATGTGTCTCTTGGCCTTCCTTATGTCCTCTTTGGAAACATATCTATTTAGGGCCATTGCCCATTTTTTGATTGAGTTGTTTATCTTCTTTTTTGTTAAGTTGTATGAGTTCCCTGTAAATGTTGGAGATTAAAACCTTATTGGTGATAACATTGGCAAACATGTTCTCCCATGTAGTGGGCTTTCTTGTTTTGTTGATCGTTTCTTTTGCTGTACAGAAGCTTTTTATTTTGATGTAGTCCCATTTGTTTATTTTTTCTTTAGTTTCCATTGCCCTAGGAGCTGTATCAGTGAAGATATTGCTTTGGCATATGTCTGACATTTTGCTGCCTGTGTATTCCTCTAATATTTTTATGGTGTCCCGTCTTATGTTTAAGTCCTTTATCCATTTTGAATTTATTTTTGTGTATGGTCTAGTTTCACTTTTTTGCATGCATCTGTCCAATTTTCCGAACACCACTTATTGAAGAGACTGTCTTGACTCCATTGTATGTTCTTGCCTCCTTTGTAAAATATTGAGCATAGTGGTTTAGGAGATTTCTGGGTTCTCTATTCTATTCCATTGGTCTGTATGTCTGTTCTTGTGACAGTACCAGGCAGTTTTGAGAACAGCGGCTTTGTGATACAGCTTGATATCTGGTATTGAGATCCCACCTACTTTGTTGTTCTTTCTCAGGATTGCTGCAGCTATTTTGGGTCTATTTTTATTCCAGATGAATTTTTGGAGAGTTTGTTCTAGGTCTGTGAAATATGCCATTGGTATTTTAATGGGGAGTGCATTGAATCTATAGATTGGGCAGTATTGACATTTTAATGAGGTTGCTTCTACCAATCCATGAACATGGTATGTTATTCAATCTATTTATGTCTTCCTCTATCTCTATTTTCAGAGGACACTGCTTTTTTTTTTCCTTAAAACTTTTTTATTATTTTTAAATAAATCTTTATTGTTCAGATTATTACAGTTGTTCCTCTTTTTTCCCCCCATAACTCCCCTCCACCCAGTTCCTACCCCACCCTCTGCCATTACCCGCCCCCACTGTCCTAATCCATAGGTGTACGATTTTTGTCCAGTCTCTTCCCCCACCCCCCACACCCCTTTCTCCCCTGAGAATTGTCAGTCCACTCCCTTTCTATGCCCCTGATTCTATTATATTCACGAGTTTACTCTGTTCATCAGGTTTTTTAAAAAATATATTTTATTGATTTTTTGCAGAGAGGAAGGGAGAGGGATACAGAGTTAGAAACATCGATGAGAGAGAAACATCGATTCAGCTGCCTCTTGCACGTCCCCTTCTGGGGATGTGCCCACAACCCAGGTACATGCCCTTGACTGGAATCAAACCTGGGACCCTTCAGTCCGCAGGCTGACGCTCTATCCACTGAGCCAAACCAGTTAGGGCATCAGATTTTTATTCACTTGGTTTTTAGATTCACTTGTTGATAGATATGTAATTGTTGTTCATAATTTTTATCTTTACCTTCTTTCTTCTTCTTCCTCTTCTTAAAGAATACCTTTCAACATTTCATATAATGCTGGTTTGATGGCGATGAACTCCTTTAGCTTTTTCTTATCAGTGAAAGTCTTTATCTGACCTTCAATTCTGAATGTTAGCTTTGCTGGGTAAAGTAATCTTGGTTGTACTTCTTGCTATTCATCACTTTGAATATTTCTTGCCACTCTTTTCTGGCCTGCATAGTTTCTGTTGAGAAATCAGCTGACAATCGTATGGGTACTCCCTTGTAGGTAACTGACTTTTTTTCTCTTGCTGCTTTTAAGATTCTCTCTTTGTCTTTTGCCCTTGGCATTTTAATTATGATGTGTCTTGGTGTGGTCCTCTTTGGATTCCTTTTGTTTGGGTTCTCTGTGCTTCCTGGACTTGTAAGTCTATTTCTTTCACCAGGTGGGGGAAGTTTTCTGTCATTATTTCTTCAAATAGGTTTTCAATAACTTGCTCTCTCTCTTCTTCTGGCACCCCTATAATTCGGATGTTGGGACGCTTGAAGTTGTCCCAGAGGCTCCTTACACTATCTTGATATTTTTGGATTCTTTTTTGTTTTTGCTTTTCCGGTTGGGTATTTTTTGCTTCTTCATATTTCAAATCTTTGACTTGATTCTTGGGATCCTCTTGTCTACTGTTGGATCTCTGTATATTATTCTTTATTTCAGTCAGTGTATGCTTAATTTCTAGTTGGCCCTTTTTCATATCCTCGAGGGTCTCACTAAATTTATTGGCGGTTTCTAGAAAATTCTTGAAAAACCTTATAACCGTGCTTTTGAACTCTATATCCAGTAGTTTGCTTTCCTCCATTTCTGTCATTTGTGGTCTGTTTCTTTGTCTCCGCATTTTGGCTGCTTCCCTGTGTTGATAGAGTGGCTTTCTGTACTAGGTGTCCTATAGGGCCCAGTGGCTCAGCCTCCCCAATTACCTGAGGTGGACACTCTTGGTGCACCCCTTTGTGGGCTTTGTGCACAGTCTTGTTGTAGTTAAGCCTTGATTGTTGTTGGCATCACTGGAAGGAATTGACCTCCAGGCCAAATGTCTGTGAGAATCAGCTGCGTCTACAGTGGGAGAACTTCTGTGCTGAAGACACCCTTATGGGGCAAGACTTGCTTCAGTGGGGCTT